CCTTGCAAGAAGAACAGATCATTGCTGGAGCGGAGAAGCATTAAAGGGGTGTAAGACGGAGTAAATGGTCCATAGGAAGACCAGCAGATCGATTGGAGGATGAGGTTACGAAATTCTCTGGATCAAAATTATGCAAATAGCATGGTCTTCGAGAGAGCTTTTTCCAACAGTGGATCGACAAATCTTGTGAATGTAATTGTCTCGCACCATTCATTTATTCAGTTCTTCACGTGGCTGGTTTTCCCTGATGAGACAGCCATAATATCATAATCACCTTTCAAGTATTATGTGAGCCAAGCGGTTTCAAGACCCATTCATTAGTTTCCAATCTTACCATGAGACTCGAAGCTGGCGAATTCCACAGGAAGCAGATATGCTTGCAACATAAACTGCGCCATTTGTCGAGGCACGCGGTACTTAAAGTACTCTAAGGAATTATTTTCTGCATGCAAGACGTCATCAATCAAGGGCAAGCGGATCTGTGAATCCTACTGCATCATAAATGACAACGGCAAATGCAAACATCATGACATTCGAATAGCTGCCTGTAACATCTACGCGAGAATTTTAGCTGTCACATGGTTGTAATTTCGGTGCACATGATCCGAAGCAGAATTGGTAAGATAATTTGGTAAATATCAGGTTGCTGAGGTTGCTAACGCTGCGGTTTGGTCATGTTGATAATTGTCATTGTTGAAATCGAACTCGAACGATTCGTAGACGTTTGCAAGCCTTAGTTTTTGTTATCTCTGTTGTCATTTTAAACGTAGCCGAAATATTCGATACCGATTGTGGTACCACAAAAACTGACATCGGAATTTATGAGGTAAACTTTTTTGTGAACTCCGGTTGAAACATTTATCGCTCTGAGCCACAGGGATTTACATAATCAAAGTTGCTGTTCTAGCAACATGAAATCAACTAGCATAATTGGTTTGCCTACTACAGATTCCTAATATTCATAGCTGTCCAAATTAATTGTTGGAACAGTTGGAAAAATAAATTATAAACTCTGAGAGTTTGTCATTTTATGACACGTTATAGTTTAATGATTCATCGCCAGAATCTTCAACGCCTTTATTCTGTACCCAAATTTTATTAGACAAAATGCTGACGCTTCGCATCGAGATGCATTCATGTTCAGGGGACATTACATAACAACGCGAGGCGATGTCGGCAGTGCTGTTGCATAGTTTGGAATGACCTTAAGATGTAAATACGATCAACGAGTTGCTGTTACGTACTGTAGTTAAAGTTGATGAATTTGGGTGTAATTCAGTCATGGCTTTTCTTATCAATTTCTTTGCTGCCTATTTCCAGATTGATAACAAGTTTATGGCGTTTTCTCCCTTCAGATATTCTCATGCTTCTACTAAGTGCTTCTTTAATCTTCCTTTTCCACAAACCTCTGCTGTGACATTCCCACTTCACGTTATTATATGTTAGAAAACAGACATTGGATTCGGCAGAAATAAATCGAAAATGCCAAAGAAGCACAGAAGTGCGTGAACACGCTGTGAATGAGGGTAACATCATTGGCTAGAAAAGCACGAAAGGAATGTGGTACAAAACAAACAACGGGAAGCTGAGGATAAAACAAGCGCTCAAGACTCAAATATCTGAATATTTTACTAAAAACAACTATTAGGATTACTAATCAATCTAAAAAATAAAAAACGAGTTGGTATAGCAAAACTTAATTACATATAAATCTAATATAACTGCGCTGCTGCCATTAGCCTTTGCAACTGTGGTTAAATAATGCCCCCCCCCCTTGAAGATGGATCCAGCTCGATCTGAGACGTCCGGATTTTGCTTAGTACAATTTTTATGTGGAACAAAGTCTTTAAGATTCTGGTAATGAAGGACTTTCCTCCTGCAAAATGAATTCGAGTTTCTCTACAACTCATAATGACACATTAAAATTTTAGAATGACTCAATTAATCTTTTAATTTATGCTTTCGATTCAGCTTAACCCAAGCGCAATAATTTCAATAAGTTGTTTCCAGTTATCATCTTCTTCATCTTTACCCTCCATGAC